TATATAATTATATAATTTTTAAAATAAGAATTATTGGGGAAAGAATTATGATTAGAATAGTTCAAATTTAATATAAAAATATTGATAGCTTACTCACATCTATTGTTCGTATAAATAAATTTATTAATACGTTGAATATTCTTAATAATAAAAATTAAAACTGCGATCTGCTATTTAAATATATCTCGAGTACCTAGCGTCATATAATCTATGACTCACATAGATGATAAAGAGGACGACCGAGAGATAACAGCACTGTGGTCATAGAATTCCAGTATCAAATACTTTATTTCATATATCCTGATCAAACCTAAATCGTGACTGATCTCTCGATGTGACTGATAGGATATATCATCTCTAGCCACGTAGTATTTACGTTGACTATACTCGGTATATACATAGTAGCTTTTGATGTATCGACAGCGGATAAGATATGGAATTCGTTGACATCATCCTCCTCCCCCGAAGATAGGAATATTCTAGGAATATAAAGGATATAGAAGGAGATAAAAATATTATATCTTTGATATTTTACATTTTGACGAAAACGATGAAAAGCTAGAACTCTCTGGACTTTAATAGGTATGTAAACGCCCTTGTTAGCCAGCGGCTTGAACGCGCGTTTTTCCGCGACCGTGTGTGTGTGTAAAGTCATGCCGCTGGCACTTTCCCTTTTCAAGATCGATTTTGACGCTGTGCGTCCCGACGGCGCAAGTCGACGACGTCGGCGATTCCTCGAGCAGGGCTGTATTTATAAACGCGATCGCCCTCTTTGACTTAGTTCTAAGAAATTGATAGATACGTATATCACTCTGTGTTAAATATTTTAAATTCATCGTGATCACACGTTATCGGTTTAATTATTTAGTTAAAATTTGTAACGAGATATATTTTGGAATAGAGCATCAAATTGTGTTTTTATCAAACTTATTAAAAGTATATCTATCGAAGAGAGTTAAAATGGAAAAGTCGAGGAAAGTAAAAGTGAGGTACACGGACACAACTTGAATGATTTTTAACGTTGACCATATTCCCCATGAACGTCAGTGACCTTAGCTTAAGCAACCATGCGCCTTTGAAAAATTATTATGCCATAAAGTATGAAATAATTTTTTGATAATTTTTGCATCTGCCAATACTTTTGCTGCGAAATGTTATTTATAATTGTATATTATAAATTTTTTCAAGAACACATAACCATATACCCATATACACATTATTAAATATATAAATATAAATAATTATCAAAATATTGCAATCTCAGAGGTGAAAAAGTTTAAAAATGGTTCACCTTTTTAAACCACGTGTTAACGTAAAAAAAAAAAGTTCATCAGGGATGAATAATGACGAATTATCGTTCGATCAATATTTTTCATCATGATTTTGACGATTTTGATCTTTGTCGATATGTATTTTACTTTTACTGATAGAATTTTGAGATTTTACATTTTTAATATCTTTTGTATCTATTTTTATCTATCTTGCCTAAAGTGCTTATTAATTTATTTTATATTTGATTATCTCTCTAAAGAATTCACATTTTGCTTCAGGTTTTGGATTGATAGTTTTAGCAGCAATTTTATTAAAATTAAGACGGTTTGTCTTTTTTTTTTTTTTTTTTTTTTAGATACATACACAACGCATTTTATCTTTAATTCATGCATCAGTAAAAATAATGCGAACAAAGATACGAGGATTAATTTGCCAATTGCACGCGGTATAATTCATGTTATTTTCCCGCGATAGAGATTTCCATTTTCGATTCTTTTTTGTAAAATCACCTGTCGTCGACGACCCACGAAATTTTCGGTCAATCTATCCGCGCTTTCGGTCCGTTCATTCCGCAACCGGCCACCGCGTTTCGCTCCATCGGCTCGTTAACCCGCAAAAAAAAAACGCGGTAACAGAGTGGGTGAAGAGAGGGGAGGAGGCGACGAGAGCGAAACGGACGGAAGAAAAAGTGTCCGAAAAAAGTGTCTTAGGCCGGGACATCAAAAGCTCTTCCACGGGGGTGACCCGCCGCGATCCACTCCTGTCCGCAAAGGCCCTCTCCCTCTTCCTCTCCTCCTTCTCCCCTTTCCCCAACGCTCCCCCTCTTCCTCCCTCCCTCCCTCTCGTCTCCCTTATCCAGGTTTGCCTCGCGAAAATCCACCGCCTTTCGTTAAAGGTGACCCGACGAAATCGCCGACGAGTCGCACGTGCGTGCAAAAGGGTTGAAGGGACGGCGGGCGAGGGAAGAGGTTGGCAAATGAAGGATGGGGGAGGGAGGAGAGCAAGAGGGAGAGGAAAGTCCGGCGGTGGGTGGTTGGGTGGCGGGAACCACGAGGCAGACGGTGCGCGCTTACACGCACTCTCTTTTCTCGCTATATCGCCGGATACCGCCGAAAATCCCCCAAAGGGAAGTACGCGAAACAAAGGCCATCCCTCCCTCCGTCCCACCCCGTCTCCCTCCGCATTGTTCGCGCCTGTCATATCCCTCCCACACGTGCCTCTTCGCGTGCACTCGCGCGTTTAGTGCATCTTTGTCTTTTCCATCCATCTCTCTTCCCTCTTCGCCCCCACTTCCCCGCGTCTATTCTTTTTTTTACTCCCTAATTTTGTGAACGTACGCTTATTATTGCTATTTATCTCGTATTTTCATTAATTTTCATTAATTGCACATGATATATTTTGAAATCATATCGAAAAATGATAACGCGCGCTAAAATCTACCATCTAGAATCTTTATCTCAAGCAGCGCAGGATTAAAAAGTATTATTCGTGAGAGAATAATTAAGAGAAACATTGAGTATATAATTTCGTGTCGATTAATATGTGAAGAGAATGTATTATTTCCAAAATTTCTGACAATGAGCCTTTTTGTTAAAGGAAAGGAAAGAGAGAATTTAAATTTTTATTCATTTATTTGTATTTAATTATAATGAAAGGATTCTAATTAAATATTTTTCACTGATCTTATTGTTGCATTGGTACAAAATGATACAAGATTGCACACAATTTGCTTATACGCATCATAATTAGTGATCGATATTGATCTCTCTTTTTCTCTCTCTATGTTTATCGTCAATTATAAATATGAATCATAATCCATAAATTTCTCGTTGCATAGAAATGCATCACCGACGCGGTATCTCGCGTATATCGAGCACATTTCGCTTTCGGAGAAAGTTAATTTTTACGATACACGAAAAGCTCAATTGTTGCACAATTTGTTTGATTATGAGAGAAATCGAAAGAAAGAGATTATAAAGAGTCGCATCGAGAAAAGCGCTTTTAATTGATTATACGGAAATGCAAATCTTCTCTAAAATTATATCAAATGATTATATGTTTAAGAATAGCGCTTTTCTCTTCTCTCTCTCTCTCTCTCTCTCTCTCTCTCTCTCTAGCGCTATACTATTAAAATATTTCTTTCTCTTCTTGTGCTTACCACAATTGACGATCTCTCATTTTTTCCTTTAATAAATATTTAGTACAAAGCACTCTTTTTCTATTCTCGCGCGGAAAATCTGGGTTGCGCGTGGTCGATCGCGGAAGAGAACGATCGCACCGTTTCGCGAAAGCAAAACTTCGTGTCCTCCAGTAGGTCCTGAATCCACGGGTCGTTCGCCGCGGGTCGGTCTTTCTCAAGGTTGCTGCTCGAAAGCTCGCCGCGCAAGCAGCAACCTCGACGATGAGCGAGAGTGGGTCTCGGCCTACTGAAAAATCGATACGTACGAAAGTGAGAGTCGTTTCCCTCGGTCGTTCCACCCTCCTTTTTGTTCTTCACGCTCCCTCTTCTTACTTGCCGTTTGGTTCATTCATGTCGTCGTTGGTGGCCGATGCGCGCCTAGACGCACGCCGTGCACAGCGATTCACGCTCGTGCAGTCTCGAACAAAGTTAACGTGACGCCGGTAACAAAACACACAAAGTAGGATTTAAAGAGATTTGAGAACTCTTTCACACACGCGACACCTTGTCTGCAAAGGACATTTAGGATCTCCAAAAAAAATAATTTTATGACAGTAATTGTAGTTCTTGTCAATTTCTAATTACAAGACACTCGTATATATGACATATCGTATATATGAGATTTTTTTGACGAACTAAAAGATTTTTTAAATCTGATATTACGATCTTTTTCCTGTGATCATAAATATGTAAATAGAAACGCTCTCATATTAGGGAAGATTTGATTCTCTAGAAGGACTCTATAAACTAGAAATCTTAACGAAGCAAATTCTTAGTTGATATAATATATTTGTAAATTAAAGAGAGAGAGAGAGGAATGAGAGATAATTCAATCTCGCAAAAGGCATTGTTTCGAAAAATTATTTGATTTCTGTAAAATTTATTTAAATTTGTTAATAAATATTTTTATCTAAATTATGGTTATTTAATTTCGTTTATCTTATTTTGCTCATATCTTTTTCGAATTCTCTGTCAAATATTTAATAATAACTTAATAAATATTTATATTTAACAAATATTTAATAACTTAATAAATATGATATTAACACGCATTGTGCTTCCAATAGCAACACCCTGCTAATCGGTGTGAGTATATCATGTCGGGTTGTTGATAACAACATAACGGTCTAATGTAAACAGACGACTGGCTAGGTTACAACTCGGCACTTTCACAGTTTATTCGACGATTATCGCGCTGGAATTTCGCTGTCGGGGAAGCGTAATTCTGTCAGAGTCGCATTCGAGTCTTACATGGCCGCTCTCTTCCTTCGTTTACAATCTGTGCTCGGTCCAGACAGCAAAATGGGATACATAAAAAGGATGCGCACGCTCAAGTTACAGTGGTACCGAGATATTTTTTATTACTTATCGTGTGTGTATATAACTAACGGCTATACAGAAATATCGGATAAATATTAGGAATTTATTTATATTATTTTATTACATATTTTGATTACTGGCATATGATACATTTGTGTTTGTGTTGTCACATGGATATAAAATATTTTGTTTTGTTTTAATTCCAAGTGTTATTTTCCTATAATTTCAGCAGCAGCGGCGTCGCCAAGGTTCTAGTGAGCAATCTCCCGGCTCAGGCCCGATTAGAAGATATCGACGCGCTGTTCTCCTCTTACGGCCAGGTACAGAACCTTGAGAAACTGTCGTCGCGGGATCCAAACACGCAGACCTATCTCGTCAGCTATGAGACGCAGGAACAAGTACAGCAGTAAGTACCGGCGAAAATATCTCTCTCTCGCTCTCTTCTTTCGTGTTTTGCAAGAAATCGCTCGCTCGAGAAGGTGAATTATTCGTCTCGATATGGTGAGATTCGGTGCCTTTGCTGCGAAAAATCGCGTGTATAAATATTACTATTTTTAATATTAATACTCTTAAATTTTTTTTTCTGAAAATATCACTTGCATGCGACGATTAAAAGAAAAAAAATATTTTCAAAATAAAAATTGATATTTTCCCACCATGCATACAAATATTTATTTTATTATTTCACTATTTTTTATATTAATACTTAAATATTCTTTTTTTTTAAATACTACTTGCATATGACGATTAAAAGAAAATATTTTCAAAATAAATCTTCAAAAAATTGATATTTTTCCATCATGCATACATGAAATATTTATTTCACTATTTTTAATATTAATACTTAAATATTCTTTTGTTCTTAAAATATCACTGGATAATAATTTCTTTGTTTTCACAGTGCTGTGAACCAATTGAATGGCTACGATTTCGACGGCAATCCGTTGAAAGTGGAGATGTCCTCGGCGGAGGGCCGACGAAGGGGCCGCAGCCAGCGCAGCGGCGGCGTCGCTTTCTCCGGATTGCCGGGTTCCGGTCGACAGACCGATTTTCCGCTACGTATCCTCGTCCAGTCGGATATGGTGGGTGCGATAATCGGCCGGCAGGGGTCTACGATACGGCAGATTACACAGGTGTCCCGCGCCCGGGTCGACGTTCACCGCAAGGACAACGTCGGTTCGCTGGAGAAGGCCATTACCATCTACGGCAATCCCGAGAATTGCACAAACGCCTGCAAGAAGATTCTAGATGTCATGCAGCAGGAGGCGACGTCTACGAATAAGGGGTACGACGACGTCGCGAGTCGCGTTGATACTCCCAAAATGGAATCGTAATAAAATCGTCGTGTGATAGCCGGTCGAACAATATAAGTTAATCTTAGATGGATTCCCTTCGTATATAATTTTTATCTGGATGACTTTTACAAATGACGTATACTGAAATTTCGTCACTTTTACAATTACATCGATTTCAATACGATAAATACGATCCTTACATAATTTATGTTGCTCGACCGAACTAATTTTCCTTCATTGACGATCGATTCGTTGACGTTAATATTATGTTATTGTTTGTCGACAGTGAGATCACCCTGAAGATTCTTGCGCACAATAATCTCATCGGCCGAATTATCGGGAAGGGCGGTAACACGATCAAAAGAATTATGCAGGACACCGATTCCAAAATAACCGTCAGCAGTATCAACGATATCAATAGCTTTAATCTCGAGCGCATCATTACAGTTAAGGGAACAATTGATAACATGAGCAAAGCCGAGTCCATGATCTCCAGCAAACTGCGCCAGAGTTATGAGAATGATCTGCAAGCTATGGCTGTGAGTCTTATCCCTTATATTGTTTAAATGTCATATACCAGTTTTTAAGCTGTTTGAAAGAATATATATGAGAATATTAAGAATCTCTCAGATTTGTTTGATACGCGGAATATGAAAAATTGAAAAGTTTAGAATAGAAAATCTTTCTATTCTCAAACTTTTGCTTAAATGTACTTTATTGTATTCTTGTTCTCTCGTCAAGATTATTTAGCGCGAAATCAATTGTTGCGATAAAGCTCTAATCGATATGGTCGTTTAGCCCCAAAGCATGATGTTCCCCGGTCTGCATCCGATGGCCATGATGTCCACTGCCGGCATGGGCTACAGCTCCCGTGGACCCGGCCTCTATGGCTCAGGACCCGCCCCGTATCCCTACCAGGGCAGCTTGCCTACTCAACAGGGCGTCCCCGCTAGCGACACTCAGGAGACGACCTTCCTATACATTCCCAACAATAGTGTCGGCGCCATCATCGGCACCAAAGGCTCCCACATTCGTAATATTATTAGGTTCTCTGGAGCTAGCGTGAAGATCGCTCCTCTCGAACAGGACAAGCCGGCCGAACAACAAACCGAAAGAAAGGTCACTATCATCGGCTCTCCAGAATCTCAGTGGAAGGTGAGTGCAATTGCCATTATCTCCTGATAATGATTTTTTATATCTTACGATTCTTTAATTTTACATTTAGCAATGCTATTTTTTTTCTAATGATAAAGTCTAAATACGCGATGATATTTTTGTAAAAATATATCATGGATTTATAACGAATGATAAGAATCTGTTGTAATCGCTATGAAACGTTTTAATGTTCGTGTAATTTCGATGCCATCTTGGCAGATAGGAATCGTGTCTGTCTACCGTTGCAAAGAGTCGCGAGTTCAAATCTCTGCGTGATACTTAAAAATATGTACTTTAGCTACCCTGCTGAATTTTGGGTGGATGTTGCCTTCTATGCATCAACTTGAATCAG